TGCGTGGATGAACAATATAATTGATTTTGCCTTACCATACCTCCTGCAGGTATGTTTTTATATCTGTTGTCCTTTATCCATTGGCTACCTTTCAATTGTTCCTCACTCAGTCTTCTGTTGTTCTCTCTAGTTTATCCGAGAGTACACAGGTAAGGTGGATGAACTTATCAAGGACAAAATTGAAGCTCAAAACGAGTTGAAAGCCAAAGAGAAAGAAGAGAAGGAACTGGTTGCTCAGCAGGTATTTCTATTTGCTTTATCCTTGTTTTATTGAGAGGATTTCTTAAACTAATTGTCTTTGCACGACCTGCAGAATATGTATGCTCAGTTGCTTCCTGCTTTGCCTGCACCACCGGGAATGGGAGGTTATGCTCCACCACCAATGCCACCAATGGGAGGGATGGGAATGCCGCCAATGCCCCCGTTTGGAATGCCACAAATGGGCCCCTCTTACTAAATTTTGAGCCGGATTGAGGTTTTACGAGTGCTCTAACAACTTCTACTGGCTGAAAGCTAGAATGTCCGGAATTCTCCAATCACGCTGAAGGCAATTCGTTTTCACACTTCACATATGATTGAGGGAAATGAAGGGTTGAGCTAGTTATTCTCCCACTTTCTTGCCGGTTCAACATCTTCATATGCTGCGGGTTTATGATCACGCTTTTAGAAATTCTTTTTAATTTACAGTATCCACCATTCTTTTTTGCTTGGCTCTTTGAGAGATGTAGGATGGCAACAGAGCTTGCACGTAGTTCATGGCTATGGTTGTGGCAACACTGTTACTACCTGTACAGGAAATTGTTTTGAACTTGGTCTTGTTAGTGTCAAGAAACCTTTCATTGGTAAAATTTTTGTAGTAACATTTCTCACTTGTTGCTTAAGGCATGTCTGTCCATTACTATTGAAGATTGTCCCCCAACCCCGGGGCCCCTAAAATCTGAAGGGCACAAAAATTGTACTTAGTTGGTCAATAATCAATACCTACAAGGTTTGGTTAATACATTGATGAGTTAGAATTTGGAGACTTATGTTTTTGACATATGGTTTTTGTGAAGTTCATTTTGCAATGTATTTTTACGATCCAGCCGTCTATTTAATCTATGAACCGGAATCGGTCTGGTCCAGTTCAATCAGTTCTCACAGTCAAAATTAGGAAAACCAAACCAAATTGGAACCGGACGGAAGTGGACCGTGCCCAACCCTAGGCAGGCCTCTCTCTAAACTCTCTTTGCAATTTCGCTAATGTTTATTCATCTGATAATTGTTATTATGAACATTTATCAGATTTAATTTATGTATGACGCTTTGTTTAAAAATTGTATGCCTGCATGTTGCTTTCTACCAAATCCAATAATGTTTCACCTCGAAAAAAAAAAAAACTACTCCTTTTGATTTGTTTTATTTTTCCTTGTATGCTCTAGTGATTTTTTTTTCTTTCACTTGTTAATGAGAGGTTTTAGGTTCGATTTTAGTTAAAGGTGAATTTGAATAATATTATTATGGCTAGCCTAGTGTGAGGCTTAGTTCACTCTCCCCTCAGTATATATTATCTTTTGTTAAAAAAGTGAGTCTTTTAGTTATTTATTATACATTAAAAGGTCAGCTAACAAGCTGATTGATATTAAATAGGGAACTTTAACGAAAAGCTTTCGGTTTTTACACTAAAAAGTCAATCATATTACTATTCACTTTACCCTTTATTTTGTCTTTATCGTTAAAACTCAAAATTTTCAAACTCTTTTCATTAGTTTTCCTTATTAATTAAGCATATTAAGCGCAAAGTTAAAAAGATTGACTTCTTTGTTCTTTTCTTTTCTTCTTTTTAAGCAAATTACCAGCCTGTTAGTTGATTTTTATTTTTTTTCCCCAAAAAAAATTTACTATGGGTCACATTCTGTATGTCAATTTGTCATGAAAGTTTTCTTCTAATAAGTTGAAACTAATCACTTATTACTACGGTTGTTTAATGATTTCCTCTTTATTGTAAGTGAGAAGTCTTAAATTTTAATTTCGTGGATGGCGAGTTCAAAATTAATTTATTCTCATAGTCTTTAATATGAATATATCATTATGTTAATAATAATATATAATGTGAAACTAAGATACAATTTTGTGTCACTAAAATAACGTCACCAAAGCATTGTTCATTTGAAAATCAAGAAAAGTTATATTTGGTTTTGTTGATACAACGATATATTTACATTAGGAATAAGAATAAATTGACTCGAACTCATTATCATAAGATTTGTATTGAACATTTTTCACTTACAAGTGAAAAAAAATGATATCATTTCACTGCGGTAATATGTTGGTAGAAAGTTATATTTGTTATGCTTGCACTGTGTAGATAACGGTTAAATTAAAGGAACTAGATTAAAAACAAATTCATCCAAGGCGAAAATGCTTGCACTTTTTTTCTTAAACAAAAATGGGAATGTTGGCAGCGTGTGAAGGGAGTTGGTTTGCTTGTATGACAAGGAAGGTCGACCGTCTGCCACAATATCCCAAACCCAAAATGTAGTTTTTGTTCTCATAGATTCTTCGTTTGATCAAAGGTAAATTCCAACAACCGATTCGTCTTCATGTTAAAAGGTAATATTTTTTGTTCTTTAATTGAAGAAGGAACTAACTACGATACTTACGTTTATTTAATATAATCAAATATACAACGGTTGGATATAATTCTTAGGAAAATTAATGAAAATCGCTTGAAAACTTTGATTTTTAACGAAAATGACAAAATAAATGGTAAAATGAATAGTATCAGGATTAATTTTTTAGTGTGAAAATGTGATTTTCGTTAAAGTGAACAGTACTGAAAACTTTTCGTTAAAATTCCCATAATTCTTTTGTTGGTGCTACCAAAATAATATCCTACCTATATCCATTTTTTTAACAAAAAAAAAGGAAAATAAAAGAAATACGGCCTATGATCTAAGTAGACCACACTTTAATTAGAAATATGACATAAATATTAAGTTTCCAATATGAAAAATATGATTAGCTAATATGTTCATAGAGTTTAGTCACTAAGTACTATAGTATAGTGATATCTTTCTTCATTTGTGAGGTCTTAGGTTCGATTTTCGCCAAAGGCGAATTCGAGCGAAATTATTATAGCTAGCTCATTGTGAGGTTTTACTCACTCCTCCATCCCTTGGGTAGATAATATCGTATGTATTAAAAAAAATCTTCATAGAGTGTAACAAATAACGTTACAATCTAACAATATTTCTTTTTATTTGTAAGTAAGAGGTCTCGAGCTCAACTCACAAAAATAATAAGTTCGATTTATAATTATGACTACAATTATGTAACATGACTCAAATCCGTTTCACAATATTCTAGTATAAAAACCAAAGAAGCTGTTATTTTCTTTGAACAAACGATATTAGCTACACTAAGGGGTGGAAGAATGGGGTGAGCCTCATAATTAACTAATAATAATGTGGTTCAAATTTACCTTTACCGAGAATCGAACCTAAGACCTCTCAGTTACAAGTGAAGATGAATGTCACTAGACCGTAGTACTAAGTAGCAAAAAGCTACTAATAACACACTTTAAAAAAAAAATTCAAAAGGTGGATTGCCATGGTAAATAAGGTATTTCTCTTTATCCTAATATGTTCAGAGTTTAAATCGTCCCCTGTAAATAGTATAAAAAAATTATACTTAGGAAAAATCTTTGATGGAGGGTAACAGCTAATTTTCTCTACTGTAGTTTCTACAAAGTTAATTGTGTCTCTCGTATACAACATGGCAAAGCATGAGCACAGTGGTGATGTCAACATTCAGGCGGCGAGGACACGGACAGTAGGAGGAGCGGTTACTTGTTAGGCATATCAATCTCTGGTTGGTGGTTAGGGTGGTAGGCTGGCAGTGGAGTTATATTTAAACATGTTTCATGAGTAATCATATTTATACTATGTTTTTGTATCATATTTTTATATCACCTTAGCTGGCATTGATATAGACAGCTACATCTTAATTAAATTTTTAAATTTAGTTCATTATTTAATAAACTAATAATTAAGAAAAACTAATTAATTAAATGATGATTGTGGTATACGAGGAATCTTTCTCTTTCATTTCCTTGGTTTTGCAAATTTTTTAAATGACGTGGCTGGCCACATCAGATGTCACCTAACTTAGTATGAAAACATGGTATAAAAACCTGACATAAATAGCATTACTCATATTTTATTCTTTGTTTTTTGAAACTTTTTTGTCGGATGCTCCATTTTTATCTTCAGCTTCCCACAAATTCCGTTTTTATCTTTTACAATAGAATTAGAGGAAGTATAATCTATTTTCAGCTGCATATTCAGCTGCATAACACGTACTGAAACATGGTTATAAAAAAACTTCCTCTTGTTTGTCTTATTTTTGCTTTGGTATATCAGAGACGAATACATATGTTGATCGACCGACCGACCGCATGCCAAACTTTTGTACATGACAACGATGCCTAAAAAAGAAAAGAAAAAGCCGAACTGAGAGAGACAGAGAGAGAGAGAGAGAGAGAGAGAGAGAGAGAGAGAGAGAGAGAGAGAGAGAGAGATAGGGAGAGAGAGATGGAGGCTGAGGTATGGTGTTGGTGGGTGGAGGAGGAGAGAAGAGGGAGAGGATATGGAAATTCAGGGTTTCAAAAATGGGGCTTGGAAGAGAGGGAGCCAACTGCTCAGCACAAACTGATCAGCACAAGAGAGCATGGAGAAAGAAATCAAAAGGGCTGAGGCACAGGTCAGCCGTACAGGGAGTTTGTTTGCTTGTAGGAGAAGGAAGGTCGGCCGTCTGCTACGAGGTCACACGCCATACAACTGGACACGTGAGCTACGTTAGAAAGAATATCCCAAAGTGAAATGAGTTGCCATATGGGTTGAAAATGTAGCTTTCTTCTGGGAATCTTTGAGGGACGTTTAATACCCCCAACTCACGTCTTTAACCATAGTTAAACCTAAGTTTCACCATTTCCTTCCCTATATAAACCCAACCACCCCTACCTCAAAAGCACAACATTCTCCAAGCCATCAGCTATATAGCTTAAAACCTCGAGCTCGAGAGATCCAAAACCTTTCTCTTCAAAACAAATACCAAAGCTTTAACCCTTCTCCCACTACAAGTCTACAAAAGATGTCGAGCGCCAATCCCCACAGAGACCTCGTGGAGTTCCCACTCGCTGGCGACGACGATGACATCCGATCTCAGACCTATCGTCGTCGGCTTGCCATCATGCACATAGATCTGTAAGTTAATTGCTCTTTCTCCAATTGTTTTTCGTCTTTTCTTGTTTTATTTGGTTAACTGGACTAACTCTCTCTCTCTCTCTCTCTCATGTGTTGTGTCATTAGGAAAGCTCAAGGTGCGTTCTCGGCAGCCAATGAACCCAGGAGGGCCTATGTGACCATGTTGGCTGGAGACTATGACGAGGCTTTGTTCGGTGTGGTTGGGTTGGCCAAGGGCTTGAAAAAAAGGATGAGCAAGTACCCCCTGGTTGTGGTTGTCTTGCCGGATGTGTCTGAAGAGTATCGCAAGCTTCTGGCCTCCCATGGCTGCACAGTGAAAGAGATTGAGCCGGTGTTCAGGGCCTCATATGTCACAAATTACTTTAAGCTTCGCATTTGGGCGGTAAAGGTTTATTTATTTATTTCATTAATGTTTGATTAATTGTTAGTAGATAGATTTTGCATGGGATCTGAACCCTACCTTTTGATTGAAACTTTCAGCTTGAGGAGTATGACAAAATGATCTTCTTGGACGGAAACGTCCTAGTCTTTGAGAACATTGACCACATGTTCGACTACCCTGACTCCTACTTCTATGCGGCACTGGACTGCTTCTGTGAGAACTCTTGGAGCCACAGTCCACATCACAAGATTGGGCACTGCCAGCAGTGGCCCAACAAGGTCCAGTGGGACCCCACATTGGGCCCCAAACCTCCTCTTTACTTCAATGCTAGCGTGTTTGTGTTTGAGCCCAGCTTGGTGACCTACAGTGACCTCATCAAAACCCTCCAGACTTCTCGTACCACCGCTTTTGCAGAGCAGGTAATTTTATCTCTCTCGCCATATAATTTTATTATCCCTATGAAGAAGGACAGTTTAAAGGAACCTCGACACCCGACAGTACTGAAAAAAGGAAAGTGTTATTGAATCATTGTTTGTATTTTATGTGCTTTTTTTTTGGCAGGATCTTCTGAACGTGTTTTTCAAGGACAAGTTGGTGGCCTTGGCTCCACATTACAACCTTATGCTGCCCATGCTCTGGCGTCACCCAGTGGCCGTTGAGCTTGACAGGGTCAAAGTTGTTAACTATTGTGCTAATGTGAGTTCTCGTTACAACCTTTAGTGAGTTTTGTAATATTATTGACTCACGTCCGTTCTTTTTAATCAACTAACTTGAGAGTGTGACATTTATATTTTTGGTTCAGGGGTCTAAGCCATGGAGTTACACTGGGAAGGAAGAGAACATGGAGAGGGAAGATGTTAAGATGCTGGTGAACAAATGGTGGGAGATATACAGTGATGACTCTTTGGACTGCAAGAAGACTGTGACTTCAGCTGAGGCCGAAAAGAGCACAGACCAAGTTAACGTGGAGCCACCCGAAGCGGCATTTTCCGAGACTGGCGCTGTCGAATTCATCTCCGCCCCATCTGCTGCTTGATTATTAGGGCCTCATGGAGGCACTGTTGTAAAATATATGTTTGAAGTGTGTGGACGTTCTGGTTTTCCGTTTGATTTCAATAATTAAGATTGCTTTTGTTTCATCAAACCAGTGGACAGCGTTTTGTTGGCATCTTGTATTTATCATATATCAATGGCAATTATTTCATCTTGTGTTCTAGTTTGATCAAAACCGGTGGCCTGCAGACAGTAACGACAGTGTGTTTGTGTGCGTTTTTTGGTGCATGTCTTTCCCCCTTATGCTGTGGAAATCAGTACGCGGTGATGTAGTTCTTGAAACTAAAACATATGGTTGTCGTGCTCTGGTTGTCCAGCGGTTCGAAGAACTGTTTTCTCAGACAAAGTCTAAGGGGGCTGCAGAGCTTGCTGCGGAATCTCCAATGGGTATGCTCCTTACTCCTGATACTGTTGCTAAATTTCAGGTATAGCGTTCTGATATTTTGTTCTTGTGTTCCTGTGCAAGCTGGGCAAACCCCACCATTGTTGCAGTGTTTTGGAACTCTTTTAACTAGAGGGAAATATGAAGAGTAAAAGGAATTGAATCAGCTAGTGTTCCCAATTGATCTGATTCTTTATTTTATTTTTTTTATTTTTTTTATATTTGATTACAAATTTTACAGGAAAACTTTTATTTTCCAATTTTTAGGTGTAAGTAAATGCATAGAAATGTTAAGCAACAAAATGGTTCTCATACGCATATTTTAGTAAATGTAAAATAAAATTATCTTTTCAAAAAACATCTTAATTAAAATGATTATTGAAATTGACATAACTCTTCACTTTTGATTCTTGATATTTGTAATTAATATAAGTGGTCATAGAATTTGTTGAGTGTCAATCATTTTGATCATTCCATTAAAAATATTTGTTAAATAAGAACAAAAATGACAAAAATATTCTCAATTTAACAAATAATGGACCAAAATGATTTAACAAAAATCAAGAGTATTTTTGCCATTATATTTTATTTAGGAGAGATTTTCACACGATGACTAAAATGATGAATGGTAGACAAACTTAGTGACCAGTTTTTATCAATTTTAATTCTCAGAGACCAAAGTGAGGAGTTATTGCCTATCTCAAATACCATTTTGATCCAAAAAAAAAAAAACTTTCTAAAACTTTTTTTATTTTTTTAAGTATCTCTTGAGAACTATTGGTTGCTTTTTTATTTTTTTTTTATTTTTTTATTTTATGAACAAAGAGAGCTATTGTGTGTGTGTGTGTGTGTTTTTTTTTTGGGACTTTAACGAAAAGCACTCGGTACTGTTCATTTTAACGAAAAACCATATTTTTACACTAAAAAGTCAATCCTGGTACTATTCACTTTAACTAAAAATCATATTTTTACACTAAAAAGTCAATCCTGGTACTATTAAGCCAATCATGGTACTATTCACTTTACCCTTTATTTTGTCTTTATCATTAAAACTCAAAGTTTTCAAGTCATTTTCATTATTTTTTTTTTTGAGTACAATTATATATGTTACACTAGGGGGAGGGGGAGTTCGGCTAAACCACACAATGAGCAATATAATTTTGTATCGAATTCACCATATACAAGATTCAAACCTAAAACTTATTGCTTACAAGTGAAGAAGAATACAATCAGACCAATACTGAATGGCATAACTATTGTTTTTTTTTTAAATTAAAAAATTTTGTTTGGTGCTACTTAGTACTACTGTATAGTGGTATTCCTCTTTGCTTATAAGTGTGAGGTCTTATGTTCGAATTTTGCCAAAGACAAATTTGAATCATATTATTGCTAACATATTATGAAACTAAACTCATATTCATTCTTTTTAGTGTATATAATATCGTTTGTTTCAAAAATAAAAAATAATAATAATAATTGTTTGGTAGGGAATTTAAAATTATTTTGGGTTGAAGGATTTGGGCCTTGGTCGTCCATGTATTGAATGGCGTATTACTCACGCTCACACTCCTACTACTATAAAACCCCCTATAACCCTCAACCCTGATCCCCTTCCCCCAATTCTCTCTCTCACTCCTATTTCTACTACTCATCCTACTTCTCTCTCTAAGATGTCGAGCGCCGATCCAGGGCACAGAGACGACGAGGAGGCACCACTCGCCGGCGACGACGAGGACACCGGAGCTCAGGTCGCTCCGATCGTTCGGCTGGAGGAGGTCGCCGTTACCACCGGCGAGGAAGAGGAGGACGCCATCCTCGATCTGTAAGTCTCTTCCCCCGATTCATTTCTCGTCGAATACTAGGGTTTTTTTTGCTTTTTACTCCGATCTGGAAAAACCTAGCTAGGGTTTTGTTTTGATTCGATTCGATTAGCGCACTGAACGTTTTAAATTCTTATTAATCTGTCTGCTTTGTTTGTGTAAATAGGAAGGCGAAGCTTTACCGATTTGATAAAGACGGTAATCAATGGAAGGAGCGAGGTGCCGGCACTGTCAAGTTTCTCAAGCACAAGAAGTCTGGAAAAGTCCGCCTTGTCATGCGGCAATCCAAAACCCTAAAGATATGCGCCAATCATCTTGGTTAGTCTCTCATAGTCTATGTATACCATTGTAATTGTACACAGGTTATTATTTTGGGTTTAGGGTTTTGAATATTTTTGCTTGTGCTCTGTTACGTTGTTAACTGCAGTTCTACCGAAGATGACAGTCCAGGAGCACGCAGGGAATGAGAAGTCCTGTGTTTGGCATGCAACCGATTTTGCTGATGGGGAATTGAAGGAGGAGCTTTTCTGCATTAGATTTGCTTCAATTGAAAGTGAGTTAATTTGTTTAGTCTACTTTATAAGTTTATCTTTTCGTAATCTTGTTTTTTTGTTTTGCTTGATATTAGATGGTAGTATACTTGGTACTGTCTCTTACTTTTGTCTATGTATGTAATCTGTAGCTATTTTGAACTCATGAAATATCCGAATTTAATAATTTTTCGATTCTTCTAATTACCTTTGTCCGATTCAATAAGATATTGTTTTTTAATGTTTAGAGTTGAATGTTTGATAGTGGCTTTAAAGAGGGATGCAATTGATATCACAATTTGATTTGAAGTTGTTTCTGATGAGTGGTCTGACTAGATTCAGTCATAATACGTATATGTATATCTGTATTATGTATTATTTGATGATGTACATTTGAGTTAATTTATTTATGTAATTGCTATGACTTGAGAGTGTACCAATTGATGCTTTCCAGTAAGTAGCTAATACATTGCTGACAAAAAAAAGTAACCAATACAAAACCCACATTTAAACATTGAAATTACTAACTTTGAAAAGATGTACTAGTTGGACATGTGTATATGTGGGACACCATGACTTGCTCTCTTTTTATTGGATGTTAATAGTTTAGGTCTAACCCTTTTGTATGGATGTTGTTTTTGGTTTCTTCTCGTGTTTGCTGATACTTGAATGAAAATGTCTCTTTTACAGAATGTGTTGGTGTTAATCATATATTTAAAGTGGGTTTTTTTCCTTTTTCTTTTTTGTAAAGCTATGATCACCTCACTGCAATGAGGAATTGTACATTCTAACTAAGCTTAAAACTTACGGAGATGGGTTCCAATTAGGCTGTAAAGCACACATTTTTACCGTTTAGAAACTTTACCTGCATGTTGAAACCTGTGTAAGAATTTGTACTTTTTGGCTTCCTTGCACTAATGTTGCTTGCAAATTGAAGAGGTTATGAACTTTAGAGCTTTTGAAGTCAGTGTTGGACCAAAATATGTTTTACTGAATATCTCTCAGTAGTGCACTTAGTCGTGGTGAATTAGGTTCCCTTATGTACTATGGAACGTGGGAATATGAATATTTGGGAATAACAGAGTGAACAAAATAGATTTGAGTTTTTCGTTGATTAGAGAGAGTTATGGTCTTTGATTTGACTTGAGTTTATATTAGGAAAAGTCGGCACCAATTCAAAGGCTTCTATGTAGTGGTGCTGCCTGTATAAAGTATATAGGCTAATCAGTTTCTGAGACTTCAAGGTCCTAGGTGTTTCTCTTTATGAGTAAATAAATCTTAGCTTTCAGGAGCGTTGTCAAGATATAGAGGAAACCATAAATTAGCAGATCTGTTGCCTACGGATCTTGATTTAAATTGCAACACAAGTTGTATTATTTCTCTTAAGCATGTATAGAACCATAGATCTAGAGCATTATTTTTCTTAAGCATATAATAAGAAGGAGATGACATCCTCTGCCATACTTTCTCTGACATGCATGTGTATTGATTTGAATGAATCATTTTTCTGTAGCATTATTTCTGGGAGTAGATTCTTCCTACCATCTCAATTATTTGGTACTGCGTTAATAATATTGTATTATTCAGTATGAGCTTTGGGAGATGTCTACCTTCTGAAAGGATCCAATGTAAACTTTTCCTATAGCCATGATGCATTTGCAGTGGTTCTTTCGCTGCAGCATCATCCATTCAGTTTCATTTTCCTCATTTTCATCTCTCGTCAAGCGTTAAATGTGTTTATAGCAGATCTTGGTACAAGGTCCCAACCATCATCACGCAAGTAGCTTATCGATGTTTGATTGTTTTTTTCTTTATCAGATAACAAATTGTTCATGGAGAAGTTTCAAGAAGTTGCTGAATCCCAGAGTCCTGAAGAAGAAAGCAAAGAAGCCACTGAAGCTGCTGGGCTTCTCGATAAATTGAGTGTTGGGGAGAAGTCTGAGGCAGAGGCACCTGCTGCAGCTAAGAAGAGCGATGCAGTAAAAGAAGAATCACCTGCTGAGGAGAAGGCAGAAGAAAAGGCACCTGCTGCCAAGGAAGAGAAGAAAGACGATCAAGAGTGAAGAGGGACGGTATTTTTCTATGGGTCTATGGTTTTGTCCAATTGGTGTCGTCGACGTCGTCGTCAAAAGTCGGGTTAGATTTTAGGGTCATGTTTGAAGGTTGGAAGAGTGGTTTGTTATTCTCAGTATGATTTGTTTTGTTGTCACAGGGTTTCCCATCCTATTTGATTACTTGGGAGTAAGTTACAGGTCAGTGAAAATAACTTGATATAAGCCGATGACGTTTTGTTTGGATATAATTTCTTGATTTGTTTTTAGGGTCTTGAATTTTATTTGTGGGCAAATGTGGTACCGAAACATGGCTTCTCTATTTATGAAACAATTTGCCTATTATAAACACATCCGATCCATTATTGTATCACGATTACGTAAAGAGTTGCCTCACTGTTACAAAATACCCTTGACGCAAGGGAACCCGTATGAATTTAGGGCGCGTATACCAATCCGTAATCAGATTGAAGGGAACCTGTATGAATTCAGGGTGAAAGTGATAAAAGTTGTTTCCTTCTCTTCCGTTTGGGTCTGCAAATCGTAATTCCTTGAGGATTTGGGCATTCGTTGTTCCAGATCATGTACGTCCTTGTCGCGTTGTTTCAAACCCTAGGCGATCGTTGTTCCAAATCGCAGCGTTCGTCGTTCAGTGCTACGACATCGTTTTAGATTGTGAAGGTGGGGTGGTGTGTGCTGTGAGTGAGAGAAACAAATACAGAGAGGAGTGATTGATGAAGGTAGGAGTTGTTTTAGGAATATATAAATGTACTCGTAACGTGGAATGTGATTAATATTCAATAATAACTATTTTTCTAACTTATTGAAGGGGGAACACTACATTACAGACACACTAATTGCTTGACCTAGAAAGAGGCATTTTTCAAACGGATGGAGTTGCACAAAGGCAAGTGCTATTCAAAATGAATAGTAAGGGCAACTTACATGCCTTTGCCCTTCTAAAATGGGTGAACTTGCTCGTGTCTATTGCGAACCTACCAATCTTATGGAGATTAGGAGGGACAAGTTTTTGTCATAGTTAATTCATCTTATACCTTCACTTGGACAAACTATGTAAGTGGGCATCCACTTCTTCATTCCATATTTGATTGAATCTATTAAGAAGTAATGCTAGAGAGATTAAATTTGTAGACAAAATTTTGTAAACTAAATGATATGGAAGTTGATGATTGAATTATTATTTAAGTGTTGATAAACGTGCTCATTTCCTATTAGTATCGCATAATTTAGTTTACAAATTTTATCTAAAAATTTATTCTCCCTAACATTACTCATCTAGTAAGTTATCTAATCTAAACCATAAAACGAATCCTATATGCCAAATGAGGCCACAATCTTAACAAATATGACCCTTATAGCCACTTTTAAAGAGAACCTATTGGACCTAACTATCATTGCACTCGATCATTAAGGACAATAGGTGAGTTGATTATTTTTTTCTTAGGTAATGCTAGATAGACTTAATTTGTAAACTGAATTTGCAAACTAAATGATGTGTTATCAATAAGAAATAAGCACGTTAATCAACACTTGAGTATTAATCTAATAATTAACCTTCACATCATTTAGTTTACAAAATTGTCTACAAATTTAATCTCCCTTACATTACCCTTTTTTTCTTCTATAAATTGCTTTTTAAATGCTTCTCACTAATAATTGTTAGGGAGACTAAGTTAATTGAGTAGCCATTTAACTGTAACATGCACTATGATGAGCTATTCAAAATGAATAGTAAGGGCAACTTACATGCATTTGCTCTACGGGTGGACTTGTTCTTATCTATTCCAATCCTACCAATCTTGTGGAGATTAGGAGGGACAAGTTTTCGTCATAATTAATTCATCTTCTTCTTTTCACTTGGAAAACTATGTGAGTGGGCACCCACTTCTTCATTCCATATTGATTGAATCTAGTAAGTTATCTAATCTAAACAAATCATATACACCAAATCCTATACACCACTTTTAAAGAAAACATCTTGGACCTAACTATCATTGCACTCGACCAATTATTGACAATAGGCGAGGGGATTATTTTTTCTTGGGTAATGCTAGACAGATAAAATTTGTAGACTAAATTCGCAGAGTAAATGATGTGTCACCAACAAGAAATAAGCAGTTAATCAACACTTAAGTAATAATCTAATTATCAATTTTCACATCATTTAGTTTACAAAATTTAATCTCACCCTTTCATGTAATATGTAAACAAGAAAGTCAAAAAGCCGATGTAGAAAGAAAGGAAGCAACAAAAAGAGGACTAAATTGATAGCTATATACCTTTCATGCTCAAGCTGGTTGAGAACTTTAGAAATCCCATATTAATTATGGCGGAATTTACTACACATGAATTTTTATCTCTTCATAATATCTTCCATCTTCACGGTCACAGTGAAATCCCACAGATCTCCATATTTCTCATTGAAATTCCATATATCCATGGTGTTGTAGTCCGCTATCAGCTTGTCAAGAGCTCCCTGCTCCATGTTGTATATTTGGGGTTCAAAGTTGTGACTTTATGATTTTATATAAAATTTTATAATATTAACACAAAAATTAACATTGAATTATAAAATAACAGAAAATCTATTAAATATTTCAATTTTAAGGAACCCCTAAACATTTATATTCTCTCTTTATTGTCTCACAGAAAAGAAAAATAGCACCTCGTCTTTCATGAGAAGCACCACCTGGAAACCATTAAGCAGAGCCTCGCTGTTTGTGTAAATTGAGAAATTTAACGGCCGCACGATTTCCATGTACTTTGAATCAACGGCCACGATGTTTCGTCCGCAGGCCACCGATAAAAAGATCCGGATCTGGGTCCATCGGACAACTTTTTATGGTCAACAAACCAATCACAAGTTCTTTTAATGTCAACAGACCAATCACAGATCTTTTTGGGTCAACTGACCAATAACAAGTTCTTTACGAATTGGGAGATCGATAATTATAATCTCAAAAGCCTTTTCTTCTACATTGAGCTACTAGCAAACTAAGCAACCAAAGAGAAAAATGGCCGCCGCTTTGATTGGAGAGGCTTTGATCTCCGCTTCCATCCAGGTGCTGTGTGACAGAATTGCTTCAGCCGACTTCGGTGACTTGTTCCGGCAGAAGAAGCTGGATGAACCCCTCCTCATGAAACTGAAGACGACGCTGCTCACCCTTTATGCAGTGCTCAACGATGCGGAAGAGAAGCAAATTTCAAACCCTGCTGTGAGAGGCTGGCTGGACGACCTCAAGCATGCTGTCTTGGACGCGGAGGACTTGCTGGATGAGATCGACACTGAAGCTTTGCGATGCAAGGTGGAAGGTGAAGGTCAAACCGACAAATTAACCAACAAGGTGTGGAGCTTCTTCTCTACTTCTCGTGGTCATTTTTATCAAAGCATGAATGTTGAGATACAAGGGTTATTGCAAAGGCTGGATGGCTTTGTGCAACAGAAGGTTGCCCTTGGTCTGACAGAAGTTGTTGGGAGGAAGGTTTCACAAAGAACTCCAACAACTTCCTTGATTCATGAACCTTTTGTATATGGAAGAGACAAAGATAAAGAAAATTTATCAGAAGTCTTGTTCTCTGATGATGCAAGCGAGGATGATGTATCTATCATCACCATTGTTGGTATGGGCGGGGTTGGCAAGACGACCCTTGCTCGAGCCCTTTACAATGATGATAAGGTGAAAGATCACTTTACCCGTAAATCTTGGGCATGTGTTTCAGAAGATTATGATGCTATCAGGGTGACTAAAACTCTTCTCGAGTCGGTCACTTCAAAACCTTGTATGATGACAGATTTGAATATGCTTCAAGTTGAACTTAGAGAACAACTGAAGGGAAAGAAATTCTTATTTGTGTTGGATGACCTTTGGAATGAGAAATATTGATTGGAAGTGCCTCCAAACTCCTTTTAATTCCGGGGCAAGGGGAAGTAAAGTCATCGTGACAACACGAAGTGAAAATGTCGCATCTCTCATGAAAAATGTGCCCATTCAACACTTGAAGCCTTTGTCGCATGAAGATTGTTGGATGCTACTTTCAAAACATGCGTTTGGAAACGAAAACCACAATGCACATCCAACTTTGGAAGAAATTGGCAAGAAAATTGCACACAAGTGCAATGGTTTGCCTTTAGCAGCAGAAACACTCGGGGGGTCTACTACGTTGCCAGAGAGACTTCCAGGAATGGAATAAATTGTTAAATAGTAGTCTTTGGGAGCTACCTTATGATAAAAGTGATATCCTTCCAGCCCTACGGTTGAGCTATCATTATCTTCCTGCTCAGTTGAAACGATGCTTTGTGTATTGTTCAATTTTTCCAAAAGACTATCAGTTCAAGAAGGAAGATATGGTTCTACTTTGGATGGCGGAAGGTTTAATTCCACAAGGTTTTAACGGGAAAAGAATGGAAGAGACGGCTAGAAGTTACTTTGATGAACTGGTATCACGATCGCTACTTCAAAAATCAGGGGAGGATGGTTTCACAATGCATGATCTTCTTAACGACTTGGGTCAGTTCATGTCTAGGGGATTTTTTCTCAGGCTGGAAGAGAGGGAATCACAAGAAGTTAAAAGACTTCGTCATTTGTCATATGCTATGGGAGAAATTGATGCTGCTAAAAAATTTGAGCCATTAGATGGGGCAAAGTCTCTGCGGACCTTCCTACCTATCTCAATATATGACTTGTTCTTCTTCCACATAAGTAAAAAGTTTCTACATGATTTGTTGCCATCCCTGAAACGTTTACGGGTTTTATCATTGTCGCGTTATCTAAATGTTGCTGAAGTACCTGATTCTGTGGGCAATCTCATTCACCTACGCTACCTGGATCTCTCCGAGACGGCAATTGTAAGCTTACCTGGTGCAGTTTGCACTCTCTACAATTTGCAGACGTTACTGCTGTCAGATTGTTATGCTCTCATTGAACTGCCAGCAGACATGAGAAAATTGATAAATTTACGGAAGTTAACGTTGGCAGGTTGCAGCTCCCTTACTAAATTACCAGCAGATATGAGGGAATTGAGTAGTTTGCATTACCTCGATGTCAGTGGAACAAAGATAGAAGGGATGCCGGTGGAAATTGGAAGACTAAAATGTTTGAGAACATTAACTGATTTCGTTGTGGGGAAATCTACCGGGTCTAGCATTGGAGAATTAAGGGAGTTGCAGCATCTTCAAGGAAGACTTCGTATTTCAAAGCTGCACAATGGAGTTCATGTTGTGGATGCATTGGAAGCCAATTTGAAGGATAAGAAAGAACTCAAGGACTTAGAGTTGGCATGGGGTGTGGAGGAAGCCGATGATTCCCAAAAGGAGAGAGATGTGCTTGACAAGCTCCAACCTTCTGCAAATTTGGAGAAACTGACTATCAGATTCTATGGAGGGTTCAGCTTCCCAAATTGGTTAGGAAGCTCTAATTCCTTCTCGAACATACAGTTCATGTGTATCAGTGATTGTAAGTATTGTTTGTCCTTGCCAAGTTTTGGGCAGCTGCCCATTCTTAAAAAGCTACGCATCGAAGGGATGAATTTTGTTACGAAAGTTGGTGATGAATTCTATGGTGATCTTAATGGAGCTTCTGTAATTCAGCCCTTTCGGTCTCTGAAGAAGTGGAGGTCAATGTTCAGACTTTCCTTGTCTCCAGGAGATGAGAATATGGAATTGTCCGAAGCTGAGAGGATACTTGCCCAATCGTCTTCCTTGCTTGAAAACACTTAGCGTGTTTGGGTGTGGAGATCTACATCTGCATGATGAATGGGCCAGTATTAACATGGACTACTTACAGAATTCATTGGAAATAGAGATTGGTGGATGCCCAGGTCTGTTACCATTAATAGAGAGAGTAGAGAAGAAGTTCTTGTCCACACTTGAAATTTCTAATTTTGATGCAATACAGTGCCTGCCCAAAATGAAATATCTTCGAAGTTTGAGGTTCGAGGATTGCCCAACCGTGTCGTCATTAGAGTTCTTATCTCATGAGATGATGGCCGAATTGTCGTCACTTGAGTATTTGGCGATTATCACGAGTTTTGATTCAGTGAGGTCCTTCCCGTTGGGCGTTTTCCCCAAACTTTCAACTCTTGAAATCCATGGCTGTGAGAATCTGGAATCCTTTTCTATTGAAGGAGTTGATCAGAACCTAAGCCATCTCAATCGGCTAGAAATCCACAACTGTCCAAATCTGGCGTCTTTCCCGGACGGAGGATTGCCCACTCCCAACTTGAGAGAATTGTCAGTCCATCGATGCAAGAATTTGAAGTCGTTCCCCGAACAAATTCGCACCCTCACCGCCCTTGAACGATTGATTATATGGGGTCTTCCAAATCTTGTATCATTTGCCCAAGGGGGTTTGCCTCCCAACCTGCAATATTTTGATGTTAGAGATTGCGACAAAGTGAAGCCTTCAGTGGAGTGGGGATTACAAGGACTTGTCTCCCTTAAAGAATTTACAATTGCTGGAGAGATCTGGGCACCGTTGCTCAAGGAACAGCTCCTGCTCCCTACTACTCTTCACCGGCTAAGTATTTTAGATTGCCCAAGTCTGGAATTCCTGCCACGAGAGGGACTTCAACACCTCACTTCTCTTCAATATCTAAATATTTATCGTTGCCCAAGTCTGGAATTCCTTCCAGCAGAGGGACTTCTACACCTCACTTCTCTTCAATATCTAACTATTGAAGATTGTCCAAAACTCCAATTCCTGCCAGAAAACGGTTTGCCGCCATCTCTTTCTTCCCTGAAGATCTACTCTTGTTCCGCCCTGGAGAAAAGGTATGAGGATAAGATGGGAGAAGATTGGGCCAAGATATCTCACATTCCTTTAATAAAGATAGGCAAACAAGTCATCATATCTGTATGAGCTCTGTCTCTCTCATACAAAGTTGTTCTTTTCGGCATTTGACTCTCAGGTAGTTTGCATCTAATTAACTTCAATAGTTTGAAAAATAAAAGACATAATAGAAATAAGAATCATAGCATATTGATCAATTTTTTCTTTGCAGCAAAGAAGACACATATTGATCAACATAATAAAAACCATCAATTCTGCTTATTTTGGTCTGCAGAAGCCTACACAAACTTGCATCCACACTTTCCTCCTCCTCCATTGGCAGGCTGTCTCGTTTTCCTTATTCAGGTACCAGATTGATGCTTGCGTAGATACTTTATGCTCTTGTGGTTCCAATCATATAATCGTAGCTGACAAATGGAAACATGTGTGCAGATAAATCTTTCGAGGTGTGTTTTCTGATGTTTCTTTTCGTTTCGTTCTTTTTATTTATCTCCAACATAAACTTCTTGATGAGAGAGAGAGAGAGAGAAGAGAGAGAGAGAGAGAGAGAGAGAGAGTGAGTGGGGAGGGAGGGGCAGAGAATAGGAAATGTTTTTGAAAGTTTTGAGAATCAAAGCTGCAGATAAGTTTCTCAGTAGCTCATGTGTAATGCATTATTCAACTGTTCTGTATTCTTTTTACCGTTTCTCAGTTGCGTGAATCAGCATTAGTTATCAAGACTCTTGTAAAATCAATCCTAAGTATCTGTTAATACAATGTGACAGGACAGACTCATTTATGGCCTTTGTGGATGCGGCAGCGAGCTAACTGTGGTGTGGAACTGTAAACTAGAATTACCCAAGGGAACAGATGCTAGCTTGCATCAATTACTGGGCCTGTCTGGCATGAGTAAACAGCCGTGGCATGCTTTTATAGTTTTCTTACGATGTCCTAGTGATCTTCACGCTGGTGCAAGAGATATATCATGTAGGTAACCCTTGGACGATTTCTTTTTTTTAATCATTCTGATTTCGTTTTTATATGGTGGCTTTTATGTTGGTGCGGATGAGTTTCTTTACAAACACAAATTCGTAATTGCTGCAGAGTCCTTATTGTGGAACTTAAGAGGCGATTGTCTGAGGCAACGGATGTTAGCTCACATCAATTTCCTAAGCATTTTTGGCTTGAAGATGATGCACCTCTAAAGGAAGATGATGGAACCCCAGGATGATATATTTCTTTGTCATATGGGCGTGGTTTGAATACGGTGGCCTGATATCTCATCTTCTTTCAATGCCATTATCATCTTCAAGTTGGTGTGTATCTACGCTTTTCCTTACAAATGTAAACTGGTAATAGATCTTTAATTGAATACTGCAGATGAGCTTTAATTTACGTTCTCTCTTACCATGTAACATCTTATGCAGAGGATATGATGCTTCGTTTTAACAAATGTTAACTGAATATATGTTTCAGTTTTGTCCCTCACAATATCTCTGTTTTATATAGATTGCATATCATTTAAAAATTAAAAAAATAAATTCATGTTAATGTAATTTACAAATCTTATACTTCTTAGAGAGAATTAATTTACGAAGCAACAATAATCGGATCTATTTAAAACTGTAATAGTTAGTTTTGTTCATTCTTTATCATCAATGATCAATCTGTCCATTGAATTTTACTTTCATCTCTGCATTTAGGGGAGTTTGTTGAGCTGATATGTAAGTAAAGCAAAAGCATCCGAGATGGCATTCATGTTGAATAGCTATCACAAGAAGCAGGCATTTCAAAATTTCATATGTAGTAGGAGTGTGAGAAAACAGATGGGGGTAAACCTCTTTGTATCCTTTTCCCCTGCCTCTAATTTCTGGAGGACTCTAAATGTTTATTTTTCCAGTTACAACTGCAGTTTTTTCTTACTGTATTGCTTATTTTGAACTACAGAAGCCTAACATGGGTGGCACAAACTTGAGAGATTTGGAAGTCAGTGGATGCAAGAGTTTGAAGTCGTTCCCCGAACGAATTCGCACCCTCACCGCCCTTGAACGATTGCATATCTGGGATCTTCCAAATCTTGTATCATTTGCCCAAGGGGGTTTGCCTCCCAACCTGCAATATTTTAAGGTTACACATTGCGACAAAGTGAAGCCTTCAGTGGAGTGGGGATTACAAGGACTTGTCTCCCTTAAACAATTTACAATTGCTGGCGAGATCTGGGCACCGTTGCTCAAGGAACAGCTCCTGCTCCCTACTACTCTTCACTGGCTACGTATTGAAGATTGCCCAAGTCTGGAATTCCTGCCACGAGAGGGACTTCAACACCTCACTTCTCTTCAATTTCTAAATATTTCTCGTTGCCCAAGTCTGGAATTCCTTCCAACAGAGGGACTTCTACACCTCACTTCTCTTCAAAAGCTACGAATTTCTGACTGTCCAAAACTCCAATTCCTGCCAGAAAACGGTTTGCCGCCATCTCTTTCTTGCCTGGAGATCTACTCTTGTTCCGCCCTGGAGAAAAGGTATGAGGATAAGACGGGAGAAGATTGGGCCAAGATATCTCACATTCCTTGCATACGGATAAACGACGAAGTCATCATATGAGCTCTGTCTCTCTCATACAAAGTTGTGCTTTTCGGCATTTGAGTCTCAGGTATTTTGCATCTAATTAACTTCAATAGTTTGAAAAATAAAAGACATAATAGAAATAAGAATCATAGCATATTGATAAAATGTTTCGTTGCAGCAAAGAAGACAGATTATCCCTACATCTTCAACATTTTCGGATGGTATGAAGAGGATCAATCCAGCATAGTAAGCATCAAAAGTGCAACATGTTTAGGTACTCTTTCATAACCGAATAATGTATTAACGTTTCAGAAATTACAAATTTTGCAATTTGTTTCTCATCTCTGCATTTTCTTTCTCATCTCTTACAAATTTTGCAATTGTCAATTTGTTTCTCACTTATAGAATATATGGTACTTCGAAAACTCACAATTTTTTGACCAAGAACTTTTGGAATATGTTGTATTCCTGGACTTTAGGGGAAAATGGTGCTGTTATATGTTAACATCTCTGCATCCGCATTCTGGTTTCGGACTTCATTGATCTCTTATTGAAAGCATGCATGTTTCTTATATCAAAAATAATAAAAACCATCAATACTGCTTATTTTGGTCTGCAGAAGCCTACTTTCGACATAGGCGGCACAAACTTGCATCCACACTTTCCTCCTTCTCCATTGGCAGGCTGTCTCGTTTTCTTTATTCAGATACCAGCTTGAAGCTTGCGTTGATACTTTATGCCCTTGTGGTTCCGATCATATAATCGCAGCTGACAAATGGAAAGATGTGGGTAGTTAAATCTTTCGAGGTGTGTTTTCTGATGTTTCTTTTCGTTTCATTCTTTTTATTTATCTCCAACATAAACTTCTTGATGAGAGACACACAGAGAGTGAGTGGGGAGGGAGGGGCAGAGAATAAGAAGAAATGTTTTTGAAAGTTATGAGAATCAAAGTTGCAGACTCATAGCTCATGTGTATTATTGATGCATTATTCAACTGTTCTGTATTCTTTTTTACCATTTATCAGTCGCGTGAATCAGCATCAGTTATCAAGAATTATGTAAAATCAATCCTAAGTATCTGTTGATACAATGTGCCAGGACAGACTCATTGATGGCCTTTGCGGATGCAGCAGCGAGCAAACTGTGGTGTGTAACTGTAAAGTAGAATTACTGAGCCTGTCTGGCATGAGTTAACAGCCGTGGCATGCTTTTCTAGTTTTCTTCCGATGTCCTAGTGATCTTCACGCTGGTGCAACAGACATATCATCGAGGTAACCCTTGGACGATGTTTTTTTTTTCTTTTCTTTTCATCATTCTGATTTCGTTTGAATATGGTGGATTTTATGTTGGTGCGGATGAGTTTCTTTACAAACACAAATGCGTAATTCACCTATATATGTGCTGCACTGACTTTTTTGGTTTGAATATGGTGGCGTCATTGCTGCAGAGTCCTTGTTGTGGAACTTAAGAGGCAATTGTCTGAGGCAACAGATGTTTAGCTCACATCAATTTCCTAAGCATTTTTGGCTTGAAGATGATGCACCTGTAAGGGAAGATGATGGAACCCCCGGATGATATATTTCTTTGTCATATGGGCGTGGTTTGAATAATCGAAATTCGCCACGTATTGTATTGGGGTATGCGTGGCACCCGATAATTGGCCATTCCTGTATATACATCACAGGATGTAGTAACTAATAGTTTGATCCCTATTTGGACTTTGGTCTAAAATTTGGGTGCCTATTTTTTATGCAAGCGGTTGCAAAAACGCTCTTAACCAACTCACAAGCTTCTTGCAACTAGAAAAATCTTAATATAAACTAATGGAGTTAGGTATTTATTTTTTAGTTTAACCACGGTAATGATTTTTATACGCTAATTTTCATCTCATGGCTCATGCTCACCATCTTAATTCCGGCTCTTGGTCATTCTTTATTTGTTCGATTCAATGACTAAAAAATTGAAAAGTGTAAACGTCGAAAAGATGTGTGCATAAGAGAGGTCAAAATCGGATGCAGAAGAGAGAAGCATAGCTAACTTGGCTAAACTCGTGTCCACTGCACATTTCTATTTAGCTTCTTTGGTGAGCAGAACATGACATAATTAATCATTGTTATTGGATTTTGCTCTACATGGTCACCTAGGACGGAGTCCTTAAACATAGCCGTAGAGACTAGAGAATCATTGCTCCTTTGGCATCATATATTGACAATATCTTCCGTGCAATCTACTCCGTAGTAAAAGATTGTCTACACTTTTAGCCATGGGCAGTTGTAAAGATGGTCCATTGAAGGAGATGCCTCTGGGGTTAGATGCAAGGCATGGACAAGGCATTGACAAGTATTTCCAGCATTGACAAGGCATGGACTTTTAAATCTGACAGTGGTATGATTTCTCATTCTTCTAACTTGGATTACTTATAACAGATTCATATGTACGTACATTACATGCGTAAGGAAATATAAATTTAGTCTTTCTCACATTACCCTTTCATGTAATATGTAAACAAGAAAGTAAAAAAGCTGATGCAGAAAGAAAGGAAGCAATAGAAAGAGGACTGAATTGATAGCTATATACCTTTCATGCTCAAGCTGGTTGAGAACTTGAGAAATCCCATATTAATTATGGCGGAATTTACTACACATGAATTTTTATCTCTTCATAATATCTTCCTTCTTCACGGTCACAGTGAAATCCCACAGATCTCCATATTTCTCATTGAAATCCCATATATCCATGGTGTTGTAGTCCGCTATCAGCTTGTCACGAGCTCCCCTCTCCATGTTGTATATCTGGGGTTCAAAGTTGTGGGGTTTGTCCGGCTTATCCATCTCAATGATGCAAAACACAATTGTAAACAGACCGGCGCCAATGTACAAGTACTCCCCCTGAAAAACAATGCATTTGGGATATGATTTCCTATGTGACGATGAACAAGACCATCATGCTAACGAAGGCAAAACAATTGGCATTACCGGAGCGTTGAAATACATTCCAGCAGCAATTGCAGGGAGAAAAAGCCATGATATAAGACCTGCCGAAACAACCAAAACAGATCATGTTCGTTTGCTTTAATGTAGGTTAGTGAATGATCAAAGTTGTTTGGTAAGCATTCGCATGTACCCTGAAAACCTGTAGGGGTTCCAACCGCTTCAATGTCTTCGGCTATTGATCCCCAAAAGCTTCCTGGACAAGAGAGTTTGCAGAAACAAATCACGGTTCTGGGCACAAATAATTTAATAACGTAACATGTTAGACTACTCGCCACTGAGTGCGCTAACTAATAGAAACAGGGCACCTTTCTTCTCTTCGCCTTCGTGGTAAGTGTGGTGCTCATCATACTCCCCGAACTTAAAATCATCCTGCAAAATTAACCATACTTAATTAATCACTAATCATGATAAATTCATACAATCACATGAACTTGTACAGTCAGTGAGCGTTTATAGTTTATACCATGCTGATACTGTTAGTCTCCCAACGGTCATGGGGGTCTTCGCGGAGATCGGGCTCAATCTCCGCGAACCCAGCTGCATTCAGCCTAGTACTCAACCTTGTCTTCCCCAAGTTTCTGTACAATTCGGAGGTCCTACGTGTCTGAGTACTCCGAGAAACCCTCGCCCTAGATTCCGACAGCTTCGAGCTCAGTTTGGGAGCTGCGCAAGGAGAGACAGCCGCGAGTGAAGAGCACACCGCCATTTCTGGTTTGGATTATCTTCGATTTTGTGGCCGTTGTGCAACGCTCAAATACGCGCTTGTTCTCTCAACGGTATGGCATGACATAAGTCACTGCCGGTGTCCTTGAATCTTGAGAACGACGAATCGAAATTCGCCACGTATCAAGGATGAAGGAGTTCATTATATTGGGGCACGCGTGGCACCCGATAACTGGCCATTCCAGTATTTACGTCACAGGATGTAGTAACTAATAGTTTGATCCCCTTTTAGAGTTGGGTCTAAAATTTGGATGCTTTTTTTTTAAAAGAATTTTAACGACTTTTTTTTTCTTCATATTTTAACGAAAAATTATATTTTTATATAAAAAAATTAATTTTAAGACTATTTTTTTTATCTTTTATTTTACTTTTTATCGTTAAAACTCAAATTTTTTATTTTTTATGCAAGCGGTGGCAAAAATGAAAGAGCTGAAAATCGACCACAACCGAAGCAAGATCGAAATGGAATAACAGTTAAAGAACTGGAGATTGGGAAGAAAGAGTGAGGGAGTACCTTAAGGAGCATGCGCTCGATGGAGCGTGTCTGGTTTTTGAGGGTGACGGACTTGGGCTTCATCTCCGGGCCCAAGGCCGACTTGGACCGACGTCCGGCGGGGTTCACCCGCCGCTTGCTGTAGCACCGTGAGCCATGGCGTTTTCTCTCCAAATAATCGCCGATAGCACGGACAGAAGACATAAATATGCTTAAACTTTCTTGATATTTTATTATTTTAAGTACACACACTTTATATTCAACCGCAATACTTATATTGTGTTTAATATCATTATTATTTTGACGATTAAATGTTGATTGTATTAAATACATATAAATATTATAGTTAGTTTCGTTCATTTAGAATTTGGCTACTAAGTTATTTGTCACTTAATATTATGATTTAGTAGCATTTTTCTTTACTTGTGAGTTAGATGTCTTATATTCGAATTTTATAAATGGTGAATTTGCAACCAATTTATATAAAAGAAATACATTTGTTAAAATTAATGAAACCACTCATTAATATTTATAATTCTTTAAATAAAATTTTGGGTAGTGCTATCCACACCCTTATTTTTACTTCTCACAAACTCTCTCAATTTCCAGTCGTCTGATCAAATTAATTGAAGAAGATCAATGATTAACAAGAGTGTGTGGGGCCACTTAGTACTACGGTCTAGTTGTATTCGTTTTCACTTGTAAATGAGAGGTCTTAGGTTCGATTCTTGTCAAATGCAAAGTTGAACCACATGATTATGAGAAACAATTGTAAGACTTAGCTCACTTCTCTATCTTTAGTGTAGATATTATTGTTTGTATAAAAACCAAAAAAAAAAAAAAAAAAGTGTACGGAGGGTAAAAATATCCATGAATAGCACTATCCTAAATTATCCAAGTACTTTTCCATCAGTAACGACGTTCTTTAATCGATTTTATTGTTTTATGTGGAATTTGATTGAGTATTATAAGAAAATAGCTTAATTGTATTCTCAGGAAACTCATATCATTTTTAACACATGTAACATTAGACATGGTCTTATTTGAGATTTGAGAATATAGTGGTGCATGGATCAAGCATTCAGATTTGAATCACCCTTTGTTACTCGGACTCAGAATGTTCTCTTGGTCACCACAAAAATGTTCTCTTACTCATCTGGTAACCAAGAAATTCATACTCACTCACATTTGGCTTCGATACCGAACGTTGAGATTAACTGGACGTTTTTTTATTGTTTTAATCTTCATTCTTGGTATCAAATCTAAGGGTGAGTGACCATCAATCCTTCGTCATTAGGTGATCTGTTGCTAAAAGATTATACAAGTGGCCAGCTATAGTTAACTTCTTACTAAAATACGTACCTTCTGGCATACTCAACCCATAAACTTAGGACGTCTTCCAGCGTTGGAAAGAGAAATATTACTAGAACAGTTAGACGAAACTGTAGATTTCGAACATAAGGACAATATCAAGGTATAATTAACATGGCTAACAATGCTTATTACTGTTAATCCAGATTTTCTTTATTGGACAAATTTCCATGAATTATTGTGGTGTCTGTATCAATGTTACGGTCTTAACAACAAAAGAGAGGCTAATACTGCAGAAGAAAGAAGCTAAAACAGTCGCTTCACCGATTTGCTAGTTTAATGCCGGTTCTATGGTCAAGCTCGGAGAACACTTTCACTGTCAAAACATGAGTACTTCCATTTAGCATGGGATTCAAACTTTCACGAGCAAAATTTGGGCCGTCGTTTCAACTTGATTGGTTCTCCAGAATGATAGGTTGTTCTCCTTCAAGTTCGGATATAACTATCAACGAATCTGTCAACTCAAGGGAGAGGGGTTCGGAGTTCGGACTAGGGAACTGGATTAATAACCTGCAACATGGCATGAGATATGAATGAGAAGTCTGAAGCAATTTAAGAGCCGAATCCAAATCAAGACGTTTTTACCTTCTTGTTGTTTTTCACATAACCTATCACCATTTCTTTCCGCAGTTTTGCTCTTTCAGAAAGCTCAAAGAATGAAGGGTTCTCTCCTTTAATGTAGAGGCTGATATCCTGTCCTAACAAAAGCATGCATAGTTTAAATATGCGGTTTAATGGATATCGAATCCAAATCCTCTAGCCGAAAATATAAAAAAGACAATGTCCAAACGGAATCAAAATCATAGCATATTAAAACTGAGGATTTGAGGTGCAGGTGCCTACCTTTACCTATATTTCATCACCCTCTGCGTTTAGAATGTCTTTCCACACTTCGTTTAGTTCACTGTTCTCAGCAACTGTTATGCACAAAGAAATCATTTAGCTGTTATAATGTTTTGGAATAACCATATTACATGTTGTGAGAGCTAAGTCTAGTACAATGATTCAAGACCTTGAGCTGTTACGAGGCTCATTACTTACTCTGCGGCAATGTAAGTCAGGGACAGCTTAATTCTTGTGATCTGCAGTGATTGTGGGTGTATAACAATCAATAACATTAAATATCAACAGAAATAATAAACATTGACAAAAGTCAGTCGAAGTTTACTT